TATCTATCTATCTATCTATATATATATATATATATATATATATATATATATATATATATATATATATATATATATATGTGTGTGTGTGTGTGTGTGTCTGTGTGTGTACATACAGTGTAGATATTCGGTCTATTGTCCCCAGTTTGCGCGTGTGTGTGCATGTGAATGTTTATTTAAAAATTCTGTTTCCTATAATCTGATTTACAGTCTTATTCTAAATAGATATTTCCTGATTTTTTAAATTTAATTTTTTTTTTTTTTTTTTTTTTATACATCGTCTTACATAGTTTCATTCTAAATGATGTTATCAATAAACATCAGTAATACATTTCCTTGGTGCGTGCAGCTTCGCTTCTTCAAACTTTATATTCAAAGGTGCTGTACTCTTAAATCAGTGTAAGCGTGTAAATGATGATGACAACAAATACTCGAAACTTGTCCCAACAAACAATAAAATATAAATGACAGAGATTCTGTATACAATTTTATTGTGTTATCCGTGTTGCTTAGTATCTGTTTGATTTCGCATAGCAAAATATATAGATGTATATATCAGTGAGTAGTGGTTTATTTCATCTTTGTTTTATTTTATACCGATTTGATTTTTTTTTTCTTTTAGCGATAAGAACGTATCTCAGTAGCTGGCAAAGATCGCACCTTTCGTGCACAATTTGAATTTTGGCAGAATTTACAAAGAAAACATACAAGAGGCTAGGAATTCCAACGAGATAAAAACAGCGAATTCATCATATAAACCAAGTCCAACTTGCTGCATCTTCCTTCAAACACAATTTTCTAAGTTGCTGTTTTCATTATATTATCATTTGCCCAAGGTTTCCTTCTTACGTGGATTCCAGTCGAACGGGTAGGTCTACCAATGGTCACGTTTTGTTTTTCTAATGATCTTTTATTATTATTATTATTATTATTATTATTATTGTTGTTGTTGTTGTTGTTGTTGTTGTATCCTTGGATTTCCAACCAGACATCTAAGGTTAGAAATGGTATCATGACAGTTTCCTCTGAACATTTTTCGAATATATAACCCCCAAAATGCTTAAGCTGGCACATATTTTGCATAGATATATCCGTTCGTAACGTGTGAATTTTTGTATTTCTTAAAGGCTTGGGGTACAAAATATCTCTTTAAAGAGTCTATCTGAACTTTTTTCCAATGACTCCGATGCCTCTAACTACAACTGGAATTATTCATGTCCTCATGTGACACATTTATAAAATTTCCATTTCAAAACCATTGTATGTTGATAGTTTTTTGAAGATCTTCCATGATACATCACAGTCGGCAGGGGTTGCTATATTAATAAGAAGGCACATTGTGTTTTTGTGGTCTTTGATCACGATGTCTGGGCGATTAGCGTTGACTCTACTATGTTTTATTTTTATTATTATTATTATAATTATAATTATTATTATAATTATTATTATTATTATTATTATTATTATTATGATTATTTTTATTTTCTTTGATTTCTGGCGTTTGCACATTTCTTTCAGGGACGTAAGTTTAGAAATGGCATCATGACACTTTCCACTGCCAAAAAAAAAAAAAAAAGTTATTATTATTATTATTATTATTATTATTATTATTGTTGTTGTTGTTGTTCTTGTTGTATCCTTTGATTTCCAACCAGACATCTAAGGTCAGAAATGGTATCATGACAGTTTCCTCTGAACATTTTTCGAATATATGACCCCCAAAATGTATGTTGATAGATTTTTGAAGTCTAATTGCAGTCTGCAGGGTCCGCCATGTCAATAAGGAGTCACATTTTGTCGTTATGGTCTGTAATCTTGGTGTCAATGCGATTAGCTTTGATTATTCCGTCTGTGTGTATTGTAAAATCCCATAAAATTGTTACAAGTCCTATCATTATTACTATTATTATTATTAATAATAATAATTTCCTTTCTGTTGAATATAGTAACTAAAGGGATATCTTACTCGAGGCCTAAATCAAGACAATGCATTCTGTTTGCTCGATTTACGATGTTCAGCCATATTTAATACGTACAATATTTATACTTTACGTTCATTGAAATACTCTTTGGAACAGTTAATCACGATGAAACTTCTCCTTAAACATAGTTTATCAGGATTTTTATTAATGTTCTTGTTTTCACCACTTTATCGTAAGCAGGGATCCATTGCAGCAGTCGTTACAAGTGACCACAATTTTTTAAATTTCAAATTCAACATGCTTATCTTTACTTGTCCTATTCGTTAACACGTATATTTTTTTTTATTTGATGGCACTAATATATGCATTAGAAAATGTTTTTGTTTGCCGTAAATACAAATCAACCAATTGTCGTCGTTGTTGCTGCTATTTTTGTTATTCTTATGCTTCCTCTTCGTCTAATTATTATTATTATTATTATTATTATTATTTTTATTTTCTTTAATTTCTGGCGTTTACACATTTCTTTCCGGGTCCCGCCTTGGGACCTAAGGTTAGAAATGGCATCATGACACTTTCCACTGAAAAAAAAATTACATAGATAAAGCCCTTCCTAAAGTGTGGGCTGTACTTGTCAGAACATTTTTTATCTCCTTTAGGCATGGACTTCCAGGAATCCCTTCAATTAGTCTACTGCAATCTTTTCCAACCAGTCCTAGGGCTCCAACTACAACAGGGGTTGTTGATGTTCCCATATGCCACATTTTCGAGATTTCTATTTCAAGTTCCTTGTATTTTGGCAACTTTTTGAATATCTTCAAAGATACATTACAGTCAGCAGGGACTGCCATATCAATAAGGATGCACCGTTTTTGTTTGTGGTCTTTAATAACAATATCTGGGCGGTTGGCCTTGATTGTTCTGTCAGTGTGTATTGTGTAGTCCCATAGAATTGTAACAGGTCCTATCTCCGTAACCGGGTTTGGGTGGTGTTCATACCAGTTTCTTTCAGTTTCCTTCCCGTAGAAGTTGCAGATTTTCCAGTGCAGATATTGGGCCACTCTGTCATGTCGGGTTTTATATTCAGTGGGTACCAACATCGTGCAACCTGATACAAGATGATCAATCGTTTCTGGATATTTAATATTTATTATTATTATTATTATTATTATTATTATTATTATTATTATTTGAATAATTGTTCACCCAATACAAGGCCGAAGAGATACTCGAGGTTGCGGGTTACTGAAGGTGATTATTGCATGAACATAAGTGATGGAGATAGCAAATGCATATGAAGAAAGATAAATATTGACTCTAAACTTGAAGAGTTTAATATTAGAGATGAGGATAAACATCCTCTCAAGCTACGATTCTAAAGATTAGATGGTTATGGGAAGAAGCGCTCCGAATGACAGTTGCTACTTATTAATGAGCATGATTCGTTCCAGGATGTGTGGCATAGCGTATCTTAGGTGTGAACGTCTGTACTGGTGGAACTAATGAATATAGTTCAGTTGAACATTTTCTATGTACGTAGCGATAGGCTTGCAAATTACTGATTGCGGATAAGCAGTTGTAGAATTCAAAATAAGACGCTTTTGAACTCTATCAAGATTAGAATGTGAATATTTGGATGCTTCCATCAGATATGACATTAATATTTCATTTTGGGACTCTTTCACCATCAGAACATGGCAGGATAAGTAAGGTACTTTCTGAGCTGATACAAGAAGCAGATTATGTTACGAATACCATTAACCATGGCTCGTATATATGTGTTCCATTTGGTGTTTGGGGTGAATTTCAGTCTTAATAGACGTTCAAATCAAGATCATCAGATTATCATTTCAATTACAAGCGTTCATCAGGATAGTTGAAAATTCGGGATTTCGTTAATGATACTAAAACAATACTATTTTATATTTGAAAGCATTGAATGTAAAAAAAAAAAAAAACGTTTCCTCAGTATTAAGCTGTAAGAGATTGATCATGGGAGAGATCAATTGCTAGATCAAGTGGAATGTTCTTCGTGCTGCATATCCTTCGATAGACAGCCGCCCTTCATTCGACAGACGTAGCCTAACATCACAAGCGTCTTTGTGAAAGCAAGGCAAAAATGTTTGCTATTCCCGATTTTGTGATGTCAACGAACACTCGTTACCACTTTTGTGATACCAACGAATACTCGATGTCACTTTCGTAATGCTCTTTGTAGTAGAGACTTTGTAATCGCAGATACAACTTATAGTACGCTATTGAACAATACTGATGTTAGACGCCTTTGAATAACACTCACACTAATAGTACTTGCTCGATAATACTCGCTCGAATATTAATCCGTGTAGTGATCCGAATAGAAAAATAGTATAGTGAATAAAGTATAGAATAGCGTCTGTACAGTAATAGAGGATAGAGTAAGAATACCATGGTCGGAGCATGTAAGCAACGAAGAAGTTTTAAGGAACATGGGAGCCAAAAAGGCTCTTATAAGAAGGCCTAGAAACAATTAATTATTTGGAACCTATAATGAAGTTTTGTGATATTAACGAACACTCGTTGCAACGTTTGTGATATCAATGAATACTCATGTTCACTTTTGTAATGCTCTCAGATATAACTATAGTACACCGTTGGACAATACTCGTGTCAGACGCCTTCGAATACCACTCGCACATATAATCCATATAGTGAAATAGTATAGAGAATAACGGTTCTTGTAGTAGTAATAGAGCATAGAGTAGAAATAGTGATTCGAATATTAATAGCGGATAGAATAGAAATGTGATCACGCACCCTCCTTGCTTATGCGTTTCCGCTATGGTCACGTGGTCTACTTAATTCAATAATGGGATTGCTATTGTTTGTTCACTGGCGATCTATGTTCAAACTCAAGTGTTGGCAGTGACACTTTATTATTATATAACAGCCACCTTTTGTATGACGTCCTTGTTTAAACCACAGACATTCTATTTGATGTCCAGGTTTTTTTTTTTTTTGCTTTTTTTCGCAGTAGTACAGAGCCCACACCTCAGTGGAATCTAAGGATGACATATTTTCATCTTGCTACAAACTGACTGTATGATATCATCACATCCATTCTCAGTAAGGCAAGTCATGGCCGTTACTGCTTCGCCGATTGTTTTGATTATTGGGCAGTTTCTGCTATCAACACTTTCTCATATACATATTTTATGTTTTTTATGATATCGGCCGTCAATAAGGAATTCTGATAGGAGTTCTAATTCTAGAATATATCATTTTCTGTTTAATCTTCTCTGGTAGATATTTCTCATTGTAGTGTCCATGTTAGAAAATATCTAGTATTATTCTCATTATTCCAAATGTTTTCAGGCTTCTCATCTTTATCGATGATGTATCGAGGTAACTATTTGCCCAACACAGTTTTAATCAATTTGCATTCGTTGATTTTCATTTATTTTTCCCTTTGCTTTAATTTAGTGCCGTACTCGTTAAGGGTATAGACGCCAGTAAATTCAAAGTTAACTCAAATTTTCTACATGTCTGTAATTAGAAAGCATCTTTTTTATTTCGTTCCAGTGAAAATTATTTGGAAAATCATAATGCTAGAATTTCATTTTGTGAACAGAAGTTTTAATTAAATTGTCAGTGGTAATTAGAGCCGAGAAATGAGCCTCGTAACAGTCACTCAAATCGGATCGACTGTGCTACTAGCGGTCTGTTAAATTGTCTACCATGTAATCAATTTCTGTTAATCAACGCGTGAAGCGAGCGCGCATGCGCCCGTGTGCGTATGTCTTGAAGTATTGGAGTGAATACGCCACTGAATATGCAAGCGTATATATTTTGATTTCTGAAGAAGAAAGATTGTTGTGCTTCAATTCTTTGCAAGTAGGCTTTTCTATTATTCAATTTATTAGAGCATTTCCTATTGCGTTTCCTCTTTTAGGAAACGATATTTCAAGCAACTAAACACCTCCCCCCGTCCCACTTTCATCAAGGAGAGACCCATTTCCTCCTCCCTCTCTCTTTTTCTCTCTCTTTTTCTGCCTATCTCTCGGTCTCCATCACCCTCTCTATTTATCTATCAGTTTATCGCTATCACCTTCTGCGTCTCACGTTTCTGCTTACCGTTACATCCTGCGCAAAGTAATCTTAGCGGAGATTTATGCAATAAACTTATTATAGAAATTTATTTTGTCTAGATTTGAAACATGCTTAATATTGAGAATGTGTTTTGAGGAAGACAACACAATGCGAAGTAAAAGCTAGAAATCGAAACCCTATTTTTTGTGTCTGCATTCGAATTGTGACAACTAGAGCCGATTAAGCAATCTCAAATCAAAAAGCAGTACAAAATAAAAATTTCTACTATAGATAGATAGATAGATAGATAGATAGATAGACAGATGTAGGCAGTGATGAGTTTGAAATCAAGATAGCATTGTGACTCTTAGTTTCACGCGTTGAGACATGAAAGCGATAGTCAGTATGAAGTGGTCATTCGCATGTGCACACCTGTCTACAACTCTAAATGCCCAATCTTTGATATTGAGCATTCTTCCCCATTATATATATATATATATATATATATATATATATATATATATATATATATATATATATATAATCCTGGTGAATATCACTCAGGTAAGTGACAAATTTTATATTTTATTATATATATATATATATATATATATATATATATATATATATATATGTGTGTGTGTGTGTGTGTGTGTGTGTGTGTGTGTGTGTGTAATGCTGTTCTTTCGTGGTGATATAAAATATATAATAAGAAGCTGGCCAAAATTTCACAATCTCTAAGAATAGATATATTATCAGAATCATCAGGCTACAAAGCCATATCCCAAGAACCTGATCAGAATTATTTTACAAACAGAATATAAGAACTCGAGACAATGTGAACCAAACCAGCACTTTCGAAGCGGTCTTGTAAATATGTATATTTATAAAGTGATGGATTATCAAACCAAACCAAAATCAGTTAATTAATTTTGACCATTCCTCGATTATATATATTCATTGTAACCTGCCCAGAACAAAAAAAACGATATTTTGTGCGACTCGCTGGCGATTTTACACGGTTACATCCTCCTGATACGTTTCACCACATTTAAACGGGCCGCTGTTGTATTAAAAACATTGATATATTCATTTAGCCACATTGTAAAACAGGTGGCGACTAGCTCTGAATACGTAAATACATACATATACATATTTACCTCCTTTCGGTTTTTCACTCTCACAATTTTTCTCCCTCCCTCTATATCCCTCTGTCTCTCTGTCTCTCTCTCACTTTCCATGTCACTCTGTCTCTCTATCACTCTCTCTATCTCCTTCTGTCTTTGTCTCTTTGACTGTTAGTCTGTCTCTCTCTCTCCCAGTTTCTGTCTGTCTGTCTGTCTCTCTCTCTCTCACTCTGTCTCCCTCTATCGACGTCTCTTTGTCCCCCCCTCTCCCTCTCTCTCTCTCTCTCTCTCTCTCTATCTATCTATCTATCTATCTATCTATCTATCTTTGTTTGTCTGTCCCTCTCTATATATATCACCCTCTGTTTCGGTCTGTATGTATCTATCTCTGTCGCCCCTATCACTCTCTGTCTCTGACTGTCTTTCTATCTTTCTCTGTCTCCGTCTCAGGCTCAGTCTTTCTCTATCCCTCTCTCTCTTTCTCTCTCTCCCTCTCTCTCTCTCTCTCTCTATCTATCTATCTATCTATCTATCTATCTGTCTATCTATTTATCTATCTATCTATCTTTCTCTATCTTTGTTTGTCTGTCTCTCTATATATATATATCACCCTCTGTTTCGGTCTGTATGTATCTGTCTCTGTCGCCCCTATTACTCTCTGTCTCTGCCTGTCTTTCTATCTTTCACTGTCTCTGTCTTTCTCTACCTCTCTCTCTCTCTCTCTCTCTCTCTCTCTCTCTCGTATATAACAGGACTTTTACATTTGAACTATTGAAATATCAGAATTCACCTTACCCTTCGGTATTATTATATCGTGTTGTATAAGGTTATATTTTGTGTTTTTCAACACGCAGTGCAGTTTTCTTTTAATCATTACACATGCATAACATACACGCAAACCAAATACAGTGACATATGTTGGGAACGGACGTTAGCATAAGATAGCCTTCCACAAACCTTCCATACATTTATTGCCCATTTCTCATCACCAAAGCCTTCTCTATTCATATACAGTAACCTCTGGAATGTTAGAGGCATTATAACCTTGTTTCGGGGGAAATTATTACTATATAATTAACATAAAGAACAAAGAATATCTGCTAATTATTTTTAAACCGTAGTAATAATACTATTAAAATAATTTCATATTTGTCTGTAAACATTCATTAACAGGAAAACCAATAATATAATATATATATATATATATATATATATATATATATATATATATATATATATATATATTCGGACAGTAAAATTCGCTGAGTGTACTGGTTATGACGATAAACCACATCCGTGTCCTGGGTAAGACGATAAAAACGTCCAAAAGTAAGGCCACTTGTCAGGAGGTTTTGAGTTTTCTTAATTGGCCCGGGGTGGTAGCATCTGTTAGGGTCCCAGCTATGGGAAAATAGTTAACCCCGAAACTGAGGTAAAAAGCATTATAAAAGTGTAAAAAATAGGTTTTATTACTAGAAATACTTCGTTAAAATTATTAGCAGAAATTAATTTTTGAAGGAAAAAAACTATTAACAACAATATATTTGTGAAGAAAATATTACCAGCAATACGTTTTTGAAAATTATATTACCAGCTATACATTTTTGAGGAAAAAAACATTACCAGAAATTTTTTGACAAAAAATATTACCAGGAAAAAAATTGTAGGTATTGAATAACCCATTGCGGTTGATATGCCGTAAAACAAAACAAACCAATCCAAACCAAACCAAAATTCGCTGAAGGTTTATCAAATACTGTAAATCATTTAGAACTCTCCAGTTCATAGTTGCTCACATTTCTCCACAAAAAATACTTTGCAAAACCCTTTTGTTGTCTACTACTTTTCATTTCCTTTGGGAGAACATGTCTCTGTTAATAATAAAGATTTCAATCAACATACAGTGTCCAGACTATGATATTTCTCCAGAAAAGATTGATCTAACATTTCAACGAGCAAAGTGTCATATAGAAACATTTCCATAGATTAAGGACGACTCTTATAACGTAGTGAACCTCAGAATCAAAGAAGGGCAACCCAAAATCAATAACATTTCTTTCAACCTAGTCATGAACGTGTTAATATTACTTCGAAACAAAGATCATTTTTGTCGCATGACGCTAAACTTTATTATTGCAATTTAAACTCAAGTTCATTTCAATGTCGAGGTCATTAAAATAACATAACCCTTACACTGGCTATCTCATGAATTCTACCTTCTTGAAAATAACCAACGATGGTCGAAAATAACCAGAACATTAAACACAATTTCGGCTAGTTCCTTTACAAGTTTCCACCTGGCATCAAACGACTATTTTACACATTGAGCAATACACTAAAATCTTAAATATTCCGTGTCACCTCTATTCAATAAAACATATTTAAACAGATATTTGCTACTCGATACTGAAACAAGTGAATCACTGTTGAGTCAGGTGTCAGAAAATATCGGCGAATATGCTACGCTATTAAAACCTCATTACAAGGTCTAGCATAGACTTAAGTACCAAATGACAGCCATTAATAAAGAAAGAAAGAGATATGCCATCAATGTTTGAACACTGCGTCTACTTGGACTTCGTGAAAACGAGGCGGGCAAATAACTGAATAGTACTAAATACAAACCAGACGATATATTTATGAACATGGACAGTAGTGTTCGAATTTCCGTGACGTTCTTCCGGATCGAAAATCGCCTGATGTAGATCGAATGGTTTTGATGAGAATAACAAAGTTTGCGTGTAAAAAATGTAAATTATTGATTTCTACCTAAATAGATCTGTAAGTCTTTTTTTTTTTTCATTGAATGTGATGGACAAGAAAAACTCTAGTAAAACATTACTAATATGCTGCGACTAGAGTCAAATTTACTAATTGTGGTTGTAGGTATATCAATAGTTGTCCCTCATATTTAATGAAAAAAAATTGTCAAAATCAAGTAATTCAAGTGCGTAGTAAGGCGCCAAATTAAAGAAATTTGAAAGACGGCCCAATTTGAAAATACTGCTATTCCTCTACAACACAGTTAAGAATACACACATAAAATTATACAATCAATGAACTCCGCGAAACGGGTAAGGAATTATTGGAAAAGGATTGGGACTATAACAGCTGTAGATATCTTCGACTGAGTCTTATTCCTCATAATACACGAGAAAACTTAATAAAAAGTCTTCCGATTTCTCATTGAGAGCCGTTATCTAAAGCTAGCCGTATGTGTATTTTCAGCATTCTATTCTTACTTGTTAATGCACATGATCTTATACTTATCAGTGAATCATAAATATCGAAAAGAATACGATGAAATTAACAGAGCAAAATTCGGCTAAATGTCTGAATTTGATTGATCCACATTTATATATACAATATCCAGCCAAAACGTTTTGGAGAATCTAAGCATCGAAAAATTTATAGCTACCCCAAAACATAGTTTTTACCTTATCCGTCAAATTAGAAGCTTTTCATCTGGTTATAGTGATAGCGTTAACAATACTTCTCAGAAATGCTAGCAACTAAAGCAGTATTACTTTCGATCCACATACCCTATTCTCTTTTCATTAAATTTGCAGAGGTGTCTTGTGATATATTTTATGCCATTGATTGACTTGTTTGTTTAACGGCATATCAACGCCGTTTGTGACATTTAATGTCGAATTTTAATTTTCTTGGTAGTTTTAAAGTAATAAAATAGGATAGTTATTCTGCTTTCACAATTGAATGCATGGTAGATGATTCTCAGCTTTTGTGTATATACATGTTTGTGTAAAAATAATTAAAATAACCGGTGATATGTATGTTTTATGTTGTACTTTTGTTGACGTTATATTTTAGTATACAGTTTGTTTTAAGAAATTGCCGGATCTTATATATATTAATGTTATGAAAATTTTTTTCTTTTGGTTGTGTGGTCAGTTGGTTATTTTTTTTAGTGGCATATCAACAACTTTATGGGCTATTTAATGCCGAAATCTAAATTGGAACAGCATTTTATAGCATCGACTAAATATATTTTAAACGCAATTGTATGCATTCAGCTACAGATTAAATATATTGCTGGTTATTTTCTATAATATATATTGTTGGTCATTTTACTATAAATATGTATTGTTGGTCCTTTTATATATAAAAATATATTGCTGGTATTTTTACTATAAAAATGTATTTTCCTAATTTGTGTGGCGTTGGCTAGGACCCCCTAACAGGTGCTACCATTCTTGGTCAGGGCAGATCTGAGAACAACAACATTTAAGAAGTGGTTATTCGCTCCTCAGAACATATAATCTCCCGACCAGAGGCCTTGCCGTCGGATGTAGCTTATTGTGAGGCCATTTGTCTTTGTCATACAAGAGGAAGAGTTGGGCGTAGAAGTGACGAGGAACATAAGAACCATTGCATTCTGTTCGCGTTAGGTTTTCCTTTATTGGCCGATAATCTGGCGAGAATGAATGGAAAATAGGATCTGTGAGGAAATAATCTATTTATAATAATTCGTTTCCTTTTTATGTAGAATATAAACGTGATGGAAAGTTAATTGGAATCGATCCGTAGAAAGCGGATTAAATATATAAGAAATCATGTTCTTAATTTTGCAGAAAATTGGAAGCACGCCTTTTTTTTTATTATATTTTATTTAAATTAGTTATTTACCGCTGTCAGGTGACTTCATTTTCATTTTCATGAATATATCAGATTCCGCGAACTTTGAGATTGTTAATTAGTTTTCTTCTTCTTCTTCTTCTTCATCATCATCATCATCATCATCATCATCTTCTTCTTCTTCTTCTACCGTATCCTTTCAGCATGTTGGCGATCCAGAATTTCCTGCTTTTATAGCTCTTAGTAAATTATATGTTTGCTTTCTCTTCCTAAAGCCTATTCTCTCATCCATTTACAACAACATATTAGCTAGGATATGCATTTTTATTTTCTCTCTATTCCCTTCAATATATCCTCATTATGTAGCACAGAAATGCCAGTTCTCTCTTTCTAATGTTAAGTATAAGTGTTCTTTTGTTTCATTCCACCTCTCTCCTCTCCAATTTTTTTCATGGCGACTATTCTGATTAGCTTTTTTTCCCCCTGGTACCTCGACAATTATTGCTACTAGATTGGCAACTAGGTCTCAACTTTATAGCATTGAACTAATTAGATGCAATTGCCAAATTCTATTCTAACAGTTTCTTTTCTCGCATTTCGCACCTATGGAAGTCCTTTCCGATTTATTTCTTCCTTGACAACTACAATCCAAAAATTCAAAAGAAACATCAATCATCATTTTCTATCTTGTTGAACACGGTTCCTTTATGATCCTTTCCAATCCTCTCCACTAAACTCCTGTAGTCCCAGCGCAACAGTGACTTTTTCACCTTGTTTGGATTAAAACGATATATATATATATATATATATATATATATATATATATATATATATATATGTATTGCTGCATATATGGTCTGGGGCACCTTCTGTTTACCTCGGAGTTCTCGACAAGATCCAGAGACGGATATGTAATATAATTGGCACTGATCTGGCGTCTCGTCTACTGTCAGTCTCTCGCAGACGCGCCGTCGCCTCTCTCTGTCTTTTCTACAAATACTTTCATGGTAATTGCTCCGATGAGCTGCTTTCACTGGTCCCCAGACTCCATGAATTCAAGCGCCCTACGAGGCTGGCATCCCGCTCTCACCCTTACACTGTAGAAACTTCTAAATGTAGCCGTCTCTTCTACTTCACTAGCTTCATACCTCGC